TTTAAGTTATTAATCGCGTATTTGCGCGCGTGAATAAAAACGTGATTAATACAAGGCGATAAGAATTTCACCAATGTTTCCACAATCAGAAAGCGAGGAGATTTATCGGCAAGTGCAATTTTGGTAAAGTGAGGTTTTGACATATATGCCAATTATTGTTGTTTTTTTTTTCGCTTCATTGAATTCTCTGTGTTTGCATTGTTCTACGTGGGCGTATCACAATGTCTCACGCGTAATTTAAATATTTACCGAAAACACACGGTTTTTAAGATTACGACCGACTGATTACGTACAACATAGATAAAAATATATTTGAGGTGATTTTTTTTTGATAAAGTTCAACGCGTTGTGAATATGTTTAGGTTGTATAGTACCGTTATCCCGCATTCACATCGTCAAATGTCAAGTTGTGATATTTGTGAAATTTGACGTGCGAGACGCGAGGAAATCAAGTAGCGCGAGCAAAAGAGTTCAATCAGTTCATACCTATATTTGACTTGACATCGGTGTATGTACAGTTGGATTAAGTGGTTTAACATAACGTGTTCTTGTTTATTTCTGGTTAAAATTTGATGTTTTTGAGATTTTTGAGGTTTACATCGGCAATCTTGTAATGTTTCACGCATTACTTGCATTAATGAATGTTGTTTTAAGCTGCTTTTGTTATTTGGTTAATTATCGCGAATGTTTTACAAATTTGTGTCCTCTGTGTTTGTTCACACCTTTGTTTATTTGCAATCATTTTTTTTTGCTTCTGCGTTGTTTGGTTTGGTATCTTTTTTGTGTTCAAGTGATTATTTATCTTTACTGATTGCTGCGGAATAAAACGCGTGGCGATTTTGTTCTATAGGGACCAGTTGGCTCGCGATTAATCGATTTTTCACAATTGTGTGTCGTACTCGTAGTTTAAATCCTGCGTCATGGGCTTTAATTGCGTTTGGTGGAGTAATTTACGATGTCACGTGCAATTGCATTCAATCTTTTTTGTTACTATGCTTGAAATGTCAATCATATTTATTTTTTTGACGTAATAATGAAATAATTTCCGAAATATTACCTAGTCGTAGTTATTTCTATGTCAAAACATTTCTTTTCATTGCTATTATTATCAGAATTATTGAAGTGCATATAATTTATTCGTACTGAATACGTAGGGAGAAAAATGTAACGAAAGAAGTTATGAATTTTATCGTAAAGTTCATGATTATGCCCAAGTTTACGCTTACTTGTGACTTTGTTGAATTTTTATTTATTTGTAACTGAATTTATTTATTGAGCAGTAAATTGCCCCTTATTTTAATTTCATGCTATTTTTATCAATATTTCACTGCAGCAATTCCAAAATTAGTTACGCATTTTTATCAACAAAATAAAATATTTATTTGTTTTCACTGATTCAATTTCATCGAGTATTACTTGAATACCCGATTTATCTGAACTTTACTGCTGCAATTCGTTCAAGTGTATTTATTTCGAGTTTCCCCAATTCTTTTTCAGTTGATTGTGTAGAAGAAGAGTGTTTATTCCCCTTTTTTCGAAGTAATTATTCAAGTTTTTGTGTTCATTTGCGCGCACGTTGCACTCGCAAAGAACACTTGGTGATTTTCGCGTACGTTGTGTATTTTCCTTCTTTAGAATTTGAACTCACGGCACGAATGTGAGGCTCTGGAATGAGAGTTGAAAGTTCTTTGTGTCGGCACTTTTTTTGCGTGACTTTTGGGTGCTCTCCCGCACTTGGTACCTACTTCAAAAAGATGCTTAATCGACTTTGTGCGCCACGGCGCAGTAATTAAATTTCACTTAAAGCTACCTTGCGTCGACGCTCGCCCCGTCGACCCGGTTGAAATCTAAATGTTGCTCCGGAAACGTGACGTCGTCTATTGTTTGCGGAATTTGCGAAAAACCCGATTAATGAAAACGCGCCGCGCTGTTTTTATCGCCGAAAATTCTATTCCGCACATTCTTCACTGTAATGTAAATAGTACACACACGTGGAAATTTGTGTGGGCATAGGGTTTATTTGTCTATGCTTCGGCGCGTTTTTGATTACACTCGGCGATTTATTTTATATAGCGATTAGCGGCCAGGTTGTTAAAAATATAAATAAACTTATTTACTACTTCACAGAGTACCAAATCGTAAACACAGTTAATATTATTGTCAAGCCAGATATTTAAATTTCAATAAAATTAATCTCATCATGCGCAAAATTAAGAATAACCTAATTTATATATTTCCCATTGTTTTGATACAATCTGTCGAGGAATTGTAAATATTGTGAGTATCGGTTTTATGCTTTTTTCGAACATTTTAAATACGCTATAAAATTTTTGTTTGCCAGCTTTGGTTTTAATTTAATAGACCGCGAATTTTTATGCTTTATTGTACGCCCAGAGTTTTTTGTTTATAAGCAATTGCAAGCAAATTTATAGAGTCGAATTGTGGACTGATTAATATGTCACGCAACGGATTTCCGGTGAAATTAATTAATGGTTTAAAAATTTAAACCTGTATTTACGCAGCATGTTAACAGCGGATAATGAAGAGGATAGACAAAAGAATTAAAGCATTAAAATTAAATAAACGATGTTTAAAAATATCTTTTATCAATTATTTATCGTTAAATTTTGTTATTATGTTAATAAACTTCACAATAAATCATTTTAAATATCCTATTCTTAAATGTTTATATCTTTGTACTGCATATTATTATTTCTACGCACTATTAAAAATAATTCCTTGTCCAATGCGTTGATGTATAAATAACTATTTATTTCATCGCTGGCTTCCGTGTTTTCCAACTTGTTTTGTTTTTGTGGGCTTGTTTGTGCGCGGTTTTTTCATCTTTGCAATGCTCGGCGTTTTCGTGTGGTTGCACTAATTGCGCCATCTGTTAATTTCACATGCGGCATATCGAATAGAGAGATGGTGGCCCCTAAGCTGGGCGAAGAGTGACGTGCGAGTTTTTTGTAATCATTGTTTGTGAGCGAAGGTGATGGCGCCGGCGACGTTGTGGAGCGGAAGCAAGGCGTAATATATCAAGCGAGGAGTGATGATGCTCCGCTGTGTGTTTTTTTTTTGATTTCGTGATTCGACGGTGGCTTTTTTATTTGGTTCATTGTCTTCGTAGTAGATATAGATACAGGAACATGGCGTATTGTTAAAAATAGCTTGTTTTGAATCACGTACGCATAATTTACACGTTATTTATGCGATTTATGTGAATAATTGCAATTTGTACATAGTTTTTGCTGTTTCGATGCATTATTTCTATTCTTAGCTGGCTAATTGCATAAAATACCGGCAGTTTGCGTCAGTTTGTGTCCGTGTTTAATCAAGTTAAACGTTTGCCATTTAATTTAATGTCCACACATTTCAGCTTTTTATTTATCGCATAATTGCCTGTCGCGGAGCGCAGACGAGCGGCATAATTGAAAAAGCGCCCGCCGCTCGGGGGTCGCATTCGCTCGGCCATTAACTACCGCGCAAACATCTTACAATTTTCTAGCGCCATTTTACGTCAAATGCAACAAATGTCGCCGAGCTCGAAATGTTCAATTTCCGCGCGCAAACGAGCCAGCAGCACGCATCAACATAAAAACAAATCGATTTCCGAATGCGCACATAAAATACACGTGATGATTTTTTCTTTTGTGATGAGAAAGTTAATAATTCATTTTAATGCGGGTTAATGATGAGCGCTTTTTGCGTTTGTTTGCTTGCCGGGAGGAAATTGGAAACGCAGCCATCTTGAAAAATATGTGCGCGGGTGGAAGAATTTAGCGATGGGCGAATACAGGAGTAGATTTTATCGAGAGGATTAGTGATTAATGACGTCGTCCTCGAGGAGCTCGAGTGGTTTGCAGCAGCGAGAGAGGCGGAAAACAGGAAAAAGGTTTTATGTGCGCGGATAATGGTGGATGTTGACAGTCGTGAACGTGAACTTAAACTGATACCAGGCGGACGTCGGCGGCGGCGACAACTGCGCCTGTCTGGTGCCCGTTTTGCGCGGAGGAGTAATCGCTGCGTCGGTTGCGAGAGACGTGGGGCTTTCCACGTTCGACAAACTAATGAACGTTTATTTCCCGCGATCAACAACGGTCTTGGTCAATGAGGGCTGCTGCGGTGAATTGTCAAGTCGTGTACGATGATGACAGTGAAAAAAATGACTCAACTAAATGGAAATTAACGTGGCAACTGCGACGAAAAAAAATTGAGAGCTTTTTTTTAATGTGCCGATTAATTGCGCGCTTACTTATTTTAGTACTCGCTATAAAATGTAATTATCCTTTATCATTTGTTATTGTTCTTGTGGATAATTTATATCACCCACGTTTTTATGTCCTGATTGTGCCCCCCGAATTTTATGTTTTGTTGAAAACATTACCAATAAATTTGAACGTGTTTAGTGCGCATTAATATTAATTTACCGTTGCATTGCTCGGGTGGGTTTATTTCGCCACGGTATAATTAATCCAATTTGTAATGCACTTGTTAAAAGTTGTGGGTGGTGTGATCATAACCGCTTTCGGTGCGATAAGCGAATGCATGGCATGCGGGGATAATGATTAGGTACATACGTGATGATATGAATTTTTGCATTTACTGGACAATGGTAACGGCTAATGGTCCGTCACCGCATTGAGGATCATATGGCAGATTGCATTCCACCGCGTATGGGATCGAAATATAAACATAATCAATAAAAGGATTGCCCAATTTATTTAGTTCATCGTTTGTAAAATTGTGTTGCCTTCTTGGGGATATAAGGCAAATTAAATTCTGTTTATACTTGTTTGTGGTTTGTGCTGTGCTTCGGTCAAGTTGGTTTTTATGTATTTTTGCGATTATTTATATAAAAAATAATATTGCCATATTTTGTTTTATGGTGCGTAAAATGTTGCTCATTGTTTTGTTCGGGAAAATTAATTTTTTTTTATATTTCTGTAATTTTGCGAGTTTTTTGGTTTCGATTGATTAACATGTGTGTTTTGTTGCAGATAATACGATGTCAATCAATCACGATCGGGGCTAATAAATGTAGTGCCCTCCTACAATTCATCATTCTCGACGACCACCGGACTAATACTGTGAGTGCTTGCAATATATATCCCGTTTTGATTTTGGCATATTGCGGGTAATTATTTTTTCAAATTGACTTTTTGGCGTGCATATTTCACAATCGAGTTTACATTTTTTTCCATTCAAGTTAAATGAACTAATATTTAAAGGAATGTGACATTTTGAATATTTTAGCGGCAATCAGTTTCATATTTTTACGCTTTTTATTTATTACATGCATTATTTAAATTTATGCGCATCCAATCGGGAAATGTCCAATTTAAAGCGATTTTTTTTGCCGCGTTTGAACCGCATCACCACAATAAACCTGTTATCGTGACGAGATTCGCACGCATAATATTTTATTCACAATTTTCAATCTGAATAATAGCATTTTCCCAACAAGCCAATCTAGTTGTGTCTTTCAATCTGGTTGAAATCAATGTTTCAACAATTTAATTACGCGAAGGGTCCAACGGAAATTCTAACACCTTGTAGGACTTTATTATCATTCCAATTCATTCATTGTATGCTCGCGCAGCGTGCGGGCTTCTGTAATAATTCAAATTAATATGCGGGCGGCGTGGCGGTCGGGGGCGGTTGCCGGCCGCTTAATAAAGAAGAGCAGAAAGGCAGCAGTGGCGGCGTGGTGCGACCGCATAAATAAGTACAAGATGGAAAAACACTCGGCTCCGCCTTATAATAAACTTTGATATCCGTTCGGCGGGCCAGCGGGGTAGATTGGAGCCCCTAGCTGGAGGGGAGCTGGGTGGCGGCGTGTGCCGGCAGCGTAACTCCTCGCTTCGTTATCATTCATTGCGTAATATTCAAGTTTAAATTGAATTTTCCAAACGCCGCCACGGTCACCGAGAGCGCCGTCGGCGGAATAAAGGAATAAACCGAACGAATAAGTCGACGGCGGCGTGTGCCGCCGCGGCAAGGCGCGCAAATTGTAGCGGCAAGTCGAGGCTAAAGTTGGCGAGACGTAAAAGTTTCGAGCGGACGTGCGTAAGGAACGGCGGGCGTGCGATGTTCAGGATGAAAAAATCTCGCGATATTACATTAAAATCAATCAACCTCAATGACACGCCGAGAAGACTCATTTTGCGGATTGTGCGGGGAATTTAATTTTTGCCCTTAAATCACCAAGTTGTTCTTTTTTCTTCTTCTCCACACTTCAAACAAAATGTAACAAGGTGCATAAAAGGAAAACGAAAAAAGAAAACTTGGACGTGTACTGTACATTTTTCTGACAGTCGAAGTGGAATTTATTAAGCTTTGTTTTGCGCGCGAAGCCATTGCGAGTTTAGGAGTTCCAGAGTTTCAGGGGTCGGCGATTTATGCTTTGTATTTTTCCCGCCCGTATAATATTTCCTGCGCGCACACCTAAGCGGTCCGCCGGGACCGATTTATGTAATACAAGAAATAGTTTTATTTATGGCATTGTTTTGCTGCTGCGAATGACCCACCTATGCCGCTCAAACTCCGGCACGGCCAGTTTCAGTTTGTTGCGTAACAATGTCCGCGATAGTGTGCGCGAGACTACAAAGGCCTTTCATCGCGCCAGTGATATTTCCGCTTCTGGGAATATCTTTGCATTGCCAGAATTTCGCACACTGCTATAACTGTCATTATAAATCGTGACGGATAACAGACAATTTGTTTCACATCTAAATTCTTAGATTGTATGATATGTAGATAGAAATTTTTAGAAAATATTTTACTTTCCAAGTTTTGTTAATTTTTTCGCTGGAAAATTGAATGACCTATGTGATTTTATCAAGTTTATCACACTTTTGCCAGGTACTTGTAAGTCTCAACGATCGTGGGGTCAACTGTGCGCTTAAACAAACTTTGGCATCCAAAAATTTGTTGCGCACTCACGTAAATTCCACCTGCTTTTCCACACGCCCGATACCCTGCGCGCCGGCCGCAGGCTATGTGCAAATATATTTCGCCCGATAAGCACTCGCTCGCGCCCTAATACACTAAGCTGCGGTTGTTGCCCGTCGATTAGAATCTAGTTACACGAGTTACACGATACGGCCCGCTGCGCTCGCGTCGGCCGAGGAACCCTAAATTTAATGCCCGCGGGATTACGGGCTTCAAGTTGGCCGTGGGCGCTCGTTTTTGCGCCTCGGACGTCGTTGTTCTTGCGCGTGTTCTTTTAATGCTGGCAGTAAGCCCCTCGAGCGCGCGACAGGTAAACTCATTTGCGATTATATCGATTTGTTCATAACTCAGCCATGACAAACATTTGATGGCCTTTTCAATTCGTATCGTAAGTGAGTTTTAATTGATATAGCATGCAATTATCTTTGGTCACTAACGGAACAAAACGTGTATTGTTAAAAAAATCAATATTATTATTTTAATCAGGAAATAAATCTTTGTGTTCAAAAAATATACAGCAAAAGGTTATTAAATTCAATTGTTTTATCTGTTCATGCGTTTAAAGCGTATCACTTCCTGCAATCGTGTTATTGCAGTAAATTGAAGGGAATATATTGATTGTTTTGATTTGACATTCAATTGCGGTCCATTTATTGCTTCAAATTTCTTTTGTTGTGCGCAATGCGCTACTTTAAAAAAATTATTGTTTCTGATATTATATGGACGTTATTGTTGACATTTTATTTGCGATATGTTTACGTAGTTTCTTACATTTTTTTTGCTTTATAACAATACATTGTAAGTCGTCGCAAACATATTTTTTATTGCATGCGTGGGCAATACATTCATGTTTTCAATACAAGTTAATTAGCGGGTGAAATATTGGACTGTTGTTGTGGTACATTTTACTTTGGTGTTTTGGATGTTTTCTTTTATCGCTATGTTTACACCTCACGCGAAAACTTTTGTTTTCTTACGTTAGGACCCAGAAAAAATGCGCGAAAGCTACAATTTGGAGTCGGTACATAACTGCTCATCCGGAGGGCACGCCAGGGCCGCATGCCAACGTTAGCGTTATTTATTCGCCGAGTTGCTGACATTTATTCGCTGTAATAACGAATAAAACGTCCTCTTTGCGGAAATTACGAACATAGAATTCAGTGCGCATTTTCCTAATGGACTCGAGAAATGGTCACTTTGTTGAAGACGACAAATTCCGTAATTTAATTTGCTAGTTTGCCATGCTTAATGCATCAATTTAATTATCGAACGAGAAATGATTGCACGTATTAAACTTAGTTGTACAAAGAGTTCTTAGTTGAGACATGTCGCTACATTGCTTGCAACTATTTTGTGATGAGGTCTGTCCTAAAGTTGCACTGGAATATCATGAGTATTACGACGCCCTAAATACTTTATTTGGTTCAAAAGTGCAGGACGTTTTGATTGAAATGGCATAGCGTAAACACGACGTAAAATGATCAAACGTAATAAAGTATACATTTTATGTTTGCAAGTTTCTGCTTCTTTCGTTTTTGATAATAATGAAATTTCAACGAAGAACTAATAAACTCGCAGTTGCCTGGCGGTGTTTTTAATGAAAGATCGCAAAAGATGCAGAGGAAATTATTACTTTGACAGCGCTAGACACAGAGAGTGTATCGCAGTGGGGTTGTTGCGAGTTGGCGGCAAAGAAAAGACGGGTGGGAGCAACAAAGGGGCGGCGGAAAATAGCGCGGCCTGTATTAAGCGGATGGGAGGAACGCCGATGATGATATTTCCGACGTTTCTATTATTTTCCTACCTGCCATCCATCACTTTTATATCCCCGCTGGCGCGCTACGCAACACTATTTTCGCTGCACACAATCTTGGTTTTTCTTTGATGCCCCACGCGCGGAGATGTCTGACAAACGCGCCAACAAAGCAATGACGGTACAAATGAAAAATTGAATTTTTTATCAAATGAAAAATATTGAATAGAATCGATTTAGGTGTACGTATTTTTTTCAATCTTTCTGTGAAGTAAGCTTATGGCTATAAATAATTTATAATTTTTTAATTTTCTTTTCCAAATTTAACTGCATAGTCAATAATATTCTTTTTTTCTAAATAAGATACTAAAATTAACTTCAATCGTTTTTATGATAGCGAATATGTTTTAAATCTTACTATAAAACATTTCGAATACAACCATATTTGTTATTAATTTTTAATTTTTATAGGTTTTTTTACACTTGTTTTAATTGGCTATGAATATAATGTCGGGTATTCTCATGAAATGCATTTCAAAATTCATGGAACAGTTAATTTACCTAAATTGTAACGAAAACCTCTAAATTTGGTGCAGTTCATTTTGCACCACAGAAAAAAAAATCAGGTTGCTCTTTTCGCTGGCCTTTTTTCCCATCTTCGTGTGTCCTTTTTGGTAGAAGGTATTTTTCCATAGTGGCGTTGAAATACTTTAATAATTTAGAAATTTAAGGCAAAATAAAATTTATAAATTGCGCTGAACCAAATATTTGTATTGTAAGCTTCGGAAAATATTAGGAAATTATTAATTTCGCATCAAAGTTGTTTTAATTACACACAACTTAAATGCTTTGATACATAAATATCCATTTTAATGTAAGTTTTATATGTCAAACTATGTTGGGCATTGTGTGCTATGCTCCAGCGTAATAATGTCCGGCTACAGCGCAAAGTTTCTGCATTTGCGCAATTACGAAATGTAGTGCAAGCGAGGAATTTCTCCTCGATCCTTGCGTAGTCCCTCGGCGGGAGGATCAATGTGAAGGCTGCCGCGACAATGTTGTTGTTTCGAGCGAGCGTTTGAGTTTTCTTCTTCTCTTCGCTACCGACTGACGCGTTTGAAGACGCCCGAAGGGGAGAAGAAAGTTTCGAGTTGTTAAATCATCCCAGTGGAAACAAAGTCTGAATAAAGCGCAAAGAAGTGCGAGCAAAAGAAAATGCGTTTTTCCTCTTTACTCTTTGCTCGCTCACGGATTCCCAAAGTTGGAGGACGCAAGTTTGTTTCATTTCCTAGCGCTGATGTTTTTTTGCGTTTTTACATTTGCGCACTGACAATGTTGCGAATTGAAATCATTTCGCTGCGAATCTTGGATGAAAACTTGGCAAATTTTATAACATCTTTGTTTCAGCTCAAATCTGGCGTCACAAAAATAAAACATCTAGTTTGGCAATATTTTGGATCAAAGTTTTTTTTTTATTGTTGTTTCAGATCCTCTGCATGTGATTTCCGGCGAGTGTATGTTCTTGCACACGCACAGCACGCGCGATAATGTGTATGTGCAATCGGCGTGCAGCCAGCTACGCGTAAGCGAGATGACGATGCGCCTCAAGAGGATGATGGGCAGCCGGCGCTTCATGTTCTACGGCATTGCGCTCCTAGCTGCCACCGGACTACTCCTACGCTTCACACTGCTCTACTACAATGAGAACGATTTTCCGGCTATGATCACCGCCGACAAGTACGTCGTTGGCGCTGATCGCAAGGTGTACGAATACAATCGAGACATGCCGCTCATCTTCATTGGCGGCGTGCCACGATCTGGCACCACGCTCATGCGAGCCATGTTGGATGCTCATCCTGATATCAGGTTTGTTTTAGATGCTACAGGAAATACTTGAAATCTATTATTGTCGGGGAAACATGAGCGCATTCGTATCATTATTTACATTTACTTTTAAGATAGAAGTACCCGGGGTTTCCACATAATATTTGCTTGAGTTATCTTATCATTAAAAATTCATAACTTCTGTTTTCTTAGTATTAAGCCATATATTTCGGTGTGTTCTGCGCCATTACCGTAATATTTTTTGTATCCTATAAGCCACTTTTTTTTTTTGAAAAACCTTCGTGTTTCCAGATGCGGTCAGGAAACGCGCGTAATCCCTCGCCTCCTGCAAATCAGCCGCCACTGGCTAAAATCCGAGAAGGAGTCGATGCGTCTGGAGCAGGCGGGCGTGAGCAAAGCCGTGCTCGACTCGGCGATCGCCGCCTTTAGCTTGGAAATCATAGCCAAACATGGAGAGCCTGCGGCGCGGCTTTGCAACAAGGACCCGCTCACCATCAAGATGGGCACGTATGTGGTGGAGCTCTTTCCGAATGCCAAGTTTATCTTTATGACTCGTGATGGCCGCGCCACTGTGCACTCAATCATCTCGCGCAAAGTGACCATCACCGGATTTGACCTGACCAATTATCGGCAGTGCTTGAAGAAGTGGAATAGTGCTGTCGAGTCGATGCATATGCAGTGCAAGGAGTTGGGTCCTGGAAAATGCCTGAGGGTTCCCTACGAGCAATTGGTGCTGCATCCGAAGCAGTGGATGGAAAAAGTGTTGAAGTTTTTGGACATTCCGTGGAATGAGTCTGTATTGCATCATGAGGATTTTATTAACAATGGGATAAAATTGAGCAAGTAAGTTGTTTACTAGTGGTTTCGTTTTATTTCATTTTTATTTATTCTTTTTATTGTTTTTGACTTAGAGTGGAGCGATCATCGGATCAGGTAATAAAACCGGTTAACTTGGAAGCACTCACCAAGTGGGTGGGTAACATTCCCGACGACGTGATCAAAGACATGGCGGATATCGCTCCAATGTTATCCGTGCTCGGCTACGATCCGTACGCGAATCCACCGAACTACGGTACACCGGACTCGAATGTCGCTGACAATACTCGCGACATTCAGCGCAATAGTAAGCGCTGGGAGGAGAAGGCGCGCGAGATGTTCAAGTTGAACGCTGCCAACAATAAACTCCTTGCTGATGCTGCCGGTGGCGGCAACAACGACGGCGACGCTTTTAACGACGCCACCGACAACAACAATGACACGTGATACATGTTAACTGCTTAAGTAATTTATTCATTTCTCACCTTTTCTCACCCAAATCGGCAACTAGTGGACGTTGGCATCATTCGCATCGGGAACAAAAGTGTGGAGAGTGCAAGGACGATTGTTTTTATACATTAACAACACTTTATATGTGACACACACAAAAAGACGCAAACGATTTTTGTTTTGAAATGACGGATTTTTATTTGGACACTTGAATATAGTTAATTATTACTTGCTATGAAATTTAAAACGTTTAATGATCTATTTATTGTTAAGTTTGTTTGAGGATACGAGCGTTTTTATCGAACGAATGTACAAACTCTCTAGGCTATTGATAACATATCGAATTTACTTGAGGCTTGAGCATTCACTCTAATCAGGTTGTTGGATGCGCTAACGAACAATTACTGTCTAGCTAGAATTGTCCTGGCTATAGTTAATAGGTCTTATGTTGTCAGATTTTTTAATGTGTGAATACTTTTTTGATAATGAGTCATTTTGTAACTACATATACATTGCTGCCACATTTGTATATTCTTTCTATCTGTTATTTGAATTTATTAGTGTGTTTGAAAGCAATGCAAAGTTGTTATTAGTCGCATCGGTTTTTTTCGATTTTCTTACACGAACTTTGGGCCAGTAAGAGTCTGCATATGGCAGAATTCGAATGAATTTATGCGAGCATTTAATAAATTTAGAGTGAAGAATTGTGCTGAGATGAAACAGATTTCACAAAGGAATTGTGAACCAACTATATGTACATAATATTAATAAAGAATATAAATTATAACATTTATCACAGAATTCCAAGTATGTTTTATTTATTTGATCTGCACCTATTTCAAGCAAATGTTTTTGTAATTTCACAGCTTAGGAAATATAATAGGTAAGTAAGCACTTAGTCTTATACAATAGAAGTAAGTTTTTCCTAGTTATATCGTAGTTTTTGAAACCCTCACAACATGTATTTCTTTTTCAAGCAGTATAACAGGGTTGAATTTGTTCCTTTAAAATTTTCTCGGTCGAATTTTTTTGTTAAAATTTTTTCGTCGAAAAACAGGGTCGAACTTTTTTACTTAACATTTTTTCGGTCGAAGAACAGGCTCAAATTTTTTGACGATTTTGTCAAGAACATAAAGATCTGCGAAAAACAAATACATTTTTTTCTAAAATTGTAAATGGGGTCTTAACGGTTATTGTTAGTAACTGAAATAAACGATGTAGAGTTAAATTATCTCTCAGAATTCGATTATGAATTTAATAAAAATTAATAGTTCTATGTATAGTACGTGTACAATATTTTTCATGTTATGCACTACCACACTTAAAGTATCAGTGTTTACAAACAAACAAGTTTCTTATCTTCTGCAGTTTTGTGCGGTCGCCACGCGGTTGGTGAGCGTACCACGTTAGTCTCATTTTTGTCATCAGGTGATCTGGACACACATTTTTTTACAATATTTTGAGTTCTTTAATTTTTGTCGCGTTATTACATACTGCTTCTAAATGCTCCTTCGATTGTGCGCGAGTGATGTGCGGCGTTCGTTAAGCGCGGATTGAACCCACGCAGGGTAAAGCGTGAGTGATGTTCCGTCGGCCGTCGGATACGTTTTTTGTATCATACGCGTATTTCATATTTATTTCGTATTTTCTTTGGATATGCCAATCGCGCAAAAATTAATTTTGCATCAAGGTATGTTCTCGCATTTCTTAAGCCATGTGAAAATCAAATCCATTATTGACTTAACTTGTTTTTACTTCAACCGCGTGGTCTTTAACAACACAAATAATTTTTGCCGTTTTTTTCGTTTTCGTTTAATGTACATATTACAAAGATTAAGATTGTCGTGTGCCGTCGGTTTCGTTTTTAATTCTTTGGCGGCTTTTTCCGGCAAAACCCACTACCCACCACTACTATTACATACAATTTTTAATTCCGAAAATAAGAAAGAGAAATCTTTTGCCTTTTTTATGATGAAATCTTCTTTTCAGCTAGTGTAGCTTTAGAAATAATTGGAATTTTTAAATTTTGTTTTCAGATTTTGAAAGATAATTTTATTCTTAATTGATTATTTAAGTTATTATTTCACCATCATTGCCGGTTTAGGCCCTATTTGCAATTTTAATTATAAAAAAAATGAATTTTACATGCCAAAATGGCTTTAATGTGCAATTGTGTTACATGTTTCCGATTTAGAATTTAATATACACTCAAAAACCAAAAGCAGAATTCAAAAATTCTTATTATTAAAAAGGCAAAAGATTTCTCTTTTTTTATGTCGAATGCAGTTTTCACTAAAATTTGCAAATAGGGCCAAAACGGTTAATCTTAGGAAAAAAGTTACCAAAATAATCGATGTAGAATTAAAAGAACTGTTTAAGAATTTATTATCTTAACATTGAACGTTGATGGCCTATTTGCAATTTTAATTTAAAAAAAGGTGATACATCTTTAACCTATAATTTTGTTACAGTTCTACGATTCATAATTTAATCGAAATTAATGCATTGTACGAGTACAATTCTTTTCATGTTCTGCATTACCACACTGAATGTATCAGTGTTTCCAAAAATACAAGTTTTCTTATCTCGTGCAATTTTTAAGCGGTCGCCACGTGGTTTGCCTCGTGGTTGACTTGCCTACCACGTCAGTCTCATATTTGTCGTCGAGTGATCTGCACGCACATTTTCTTCACAATAATTTGAGTTCCTTAATTTCTTTGCGTCATTACGAAATATTTCTAAAGGCTCCTTCGATTGTGCGCGAGTGATGGGCGGCGTTCGTTAAATGCGAATTGTTTATACGCAGAGGTAAAACGTGAGTGATGTTCCGTCGGCCGTCGGATATTCTTTTTGTATGATACGCGTATTTCATAATTTCTACATTGTGCATAATTGAAGCCCTTACAATTTATTGGATAGGCCAAAAGCGCAAAAATTAATTTTGCATCAAGGTATGTTCTCGCATTTCTTAAGCCATTGGAAAATCAAATCCATTATTGCCTTTACTTGTTTCTACCTTAACTGCGTGGTCTTTAAGCCTACAAATAATTTTTGTCTCTGTTTTAATACCGTTGATTTGCATTACGTATTTGATACCTTGTTTTGTTTTTGTTTAATGTACAAATTAAAAAGATTAAGATAGTCGCATGCCGTCGGCTGCGTTCTTGGTCCTCTGGCACCTTTCCGGGCTGGTCGGTGGTTGTTTTATATGATTTATGGCGGTATTCTACTCTAGAGGCATGAATTTCATGTGATTTTTGAAAGGCCGTAAAAAAAATCAATTAATATTTTTACTATCCATTTTTTTAACACTTATTTATTAATGTTTTGAGAATACAAAAAAAAAATAAAAACTGAAAAAAGTTCAAAATTTTAAATTCCAGCAGGTGATGAAGTGGGAGGTCCCAAAAAATTGGCACGTGACCGTACTCATGATTTTAGCCCTCCAAGTGATCTGAATTAATCTAGAATAATTAATTATTAATCTAGAATAATGTCACAATCATATGAACTATGGGCAAGTGAAAAAAAAAGTTTTTCACAAAATGGCGATTGTTTGAAAAAATAGTGATTTTTTTACCCTTATTTTTTGATATTCTAGATTATTTTTGGAATATTTAAAATCGGAATTTGGGGATAAGCGTAGTTCATTTTAAAGAAAAGTCTATAAAGAAGACCCGGTAAAAATTTCAAATCGGTTCAGTAGAAGTTGAGAAATCGTGGGTACCGTCTCGAAAAATACAGTTTCGAGAAAAACACGTTTAAAGTTTCGCGTCAATGCGAACCAGTACGGATGCCGCGTCACCAAAACGGCTATATCTCGGAAAATAATATAAATTTTGAAAAATCCTCTTGTACACGTATTCTTGAATAGTTAAACTTTGAAAATATCAACAAAAAAAATCGATTTTTTGAAACCTCTAGAGTAGAATACCCCCTTAAAATAAAATTCTGCTTTGTGCTTTTTTTTTTGTAATATCCAACCCATCACATTTTCTTCATATCCAAAGAAAATAAAATTTTTAAAATTTTTAAAATTATGTTATTTTTATGTTTTCTTACTTTCTTACTTAAATGTCTAAACATTTTGATTTTTTAAAATTCTAGATGGCTTTCTTTTTATATTATCTTGTTGTTGTTGCCTTGTTAATTGTTTCCATAGGTTTTCCTACTTAAATCTTAATTGTTCTTTGTCTATTGCTCAGTAGATATATTTTTCTTATCATTTAATATACCATATTTCTTAGTGTTTGGGCGTTTTATTTTTAAAACCAAGTGTTTTCTTTTTGTAACACCCTGTAAATTAATTTGCCGTGGTGTCAAAAGGGGAAAGATGTATGTTATCCCATTTAAACTTAGGATTTTTCTTTAAAATATTGTAGGTAGTTTCCTATTTGTATCACCCTGTATTAAGGTTTTCCGTAATGGGTTTGTCAAAAGGGGAAAGATATATGTTATCCTATCTAAAGTTAGGATTTTCTTTTAAAATATTGTTGTTTTCTTTTTGTATTGCCTTGTATTATAATTTTCCGTAGTAATTTTTTGTAACTCTCTGTACACTAATTTCCCGTGGTGATTTTGTCAAAAGGGAAAAGATATAAAAGATATGTCATGCTACTTAAACTTAGGATTTTTCTTTAAGTTTTTGTCGTTTTCTCTTTACATCACCCTGTATATTAATTTCCTTTGATTTTAATTTGACTTGTTTTAGATATATAATTCCCTACTTGAATTTTGAATTTTCTCTTTAAATGTTAGAACTTCACTAAGTGGTACGCGCTTGCTTGCGCGGCTAAGCAGGTCGTAAGTCCTGTTTCAATATGGCGGCATGAATTTTGTTGACTTGTAAAATCTAAACTTGTATTATTTTACATTGTATTTATTAATAAAGAAATGTTAAGAAATCTTATGTCTTATGCTTTGAATGTACCCCTTCTATCATTTCAGGTACAGGTCTCAAAGAGAGTTCCCTCTCTCAGGGGATGATCCCCACTATAAAAATTGTTAAGGTATCCTGTATGATTTGTGTACTCCATCTTTCATTTCAGCTACAGGTCAGAACTTGTAAGAATATTTTAAGTGTCCCCTCTCTTGAGGCGACTCAAAAATTCGAAATATTTTTACAAGTCCTTAAAAGGATGTCCTTATAAGGAGTTCCCTCTCTCTGGGGGTGATCCCCCACCATAAAAATTGTTGATATGCCTGATAATTTCGGGGATGAAGCGCAGAGACATCGTAGCTGTAGGATGGGCCGGCAGCAATGGACGCACCGAAGCAGTGGGCGATCGCCGGAGGCGCTCTGGGAGATCGACCTTAGACTGTCTAACGACACGGGCCAAAAAATTTAAAAATCTGATCCACTCTTGTTCTCTTTCTTCTATCTCCTCCTCTTCTCTACTCTATTCTCTGTTCTCTTCCTTCTATCCTCCTATTCTCTACTACTCATTCTTCTATTTCTCTGTTCTCCCGTTCTCCTTTTACTTTCTTACTTCTCATGTTGCCTTCACTTATATTTCAATTTCTCTTATATTTCGTTGCAATTCATATATGCAACCCAAATTACACCTGTTATTTTTATATTTGAGAAAAATGCCTTCTACACCTGAGATTCGATCCGTGTCTACTAGCATGCTAGCAGGTGCACGTGCCCACTCGACTAACGAGTGTTTTTATTATTTATATTTGATTCTTCTATTTATGTTTCTATTTTATTCAACTTTTTAAAAACAACAACACAAGCCTTTGCTGTGCTGCACTCACATAAGCTTCATATGATATATGATTTAACACGCATATCCTGA